ATCTCTTGACATGACTACTGACAGACGCACATGATCTATTGACCGAATCCGTTGTTAGATTTATTTACCATGTCCACCTACAAATAGCCATCAACACCCTAGATCTGACATTAACACTAAAGGCTGGAAGAGGTCTCTCTCTTCGATGATTGTTCTTCCTTTCATCTCGATTGAGTAACCGTGTGCGACTCTCTGTCCAAACTAGAATGGGTGAACCGCTAGAAACCATCCAATCTCATTTCTCTTATCGACAAATATATTAATTTTTTCTGATTATTTCTTATGCACATTTAAATCTTAATCAAAGTTACATTTAAATCTTTGTTGGGAATTGTGAAGTTTGAACGGCAAAACTATTTGGACGAATGAATGCATCATTAACGTGCTACAACAAGCTTCTTCGTTGATAACGACTTGTTTGACAAATATGGAGATGTAATCCTTTATACATAGACTTCAATACTACCAATATGTAGATAACACAGTCAAACAAGGGGAAAAAATACTTGGTCTCCCCAACCATTTGATTTTCTTCTTCTAATTAAGCTTTTTTTCCCGATCTCCATGAAAACTCCAAGCTACGTATCCCAGTTTCTTGCTGTTTTGATCATCCTAGGGTTTGTTCAAGCCACGAGTTGCAGATATCTGGACCCTGCAGCAAGTAAAGAAATCGATCAAAGATTGAAAGACAAGTATTCTGCTGTATTCTTATCAAGCTTGTCTGCCATTCGTAGCCATGGGAAGCCTGTCACCGAGCCAATAACATCATTTCACGCAGTTTCACGTCGACTTGTCCCCGGTGGACCAAACCCTCTTCATAATTGATTAGCAAGAGAAAACAGATGCATAAATCTTTGGATTATTTGGGAGTTTCTTCATATTTTTGTAGCTATGTTATGCGTATATACTAAGCAACTTTCTTCTTAAGAACTAGTTTTTTTTTTTCCTGTTGATCTTATTCATTGGAAGTTCGAAAGATAAAAGAGTATGCATTGTGCTGCTTCGCTATGTATTATTGTTAGTAAATAATATCGTTGTAAAATAATATCATTAGCACTAATTAATAAGTAATAATAAAATAATAAAAGAAATAGAATAATTTAGGGTAAAGTACACAAATGGTCCCTCAACTATAGAATATTACTTTGTTGAGTCATTTGACTATTAAAAGTTACAAAATGATTTTTTAGCTATATGGCTTTACTTTGTTGAGTTTCTCGACTATTAAAAGTTACAGAATGATCACCCGACTATTCATATATTTTAAATCCATTTTTTTCGTTAAAAAATTTACACCTATTCACTATTTACATTACTAACTGCCATATCATCTCGAATCTTATTTCCATATAAATGTATCAAAAATTTATTCAAAATGGATTATAAATGCACCAAAAATATATAATATTTAAACGTTTATGATATGAAGATTAAATAAAAATAAATAAAGTCAAATTCTTTTATCAATGCTTGTATTATGTTCAAGTTGTGGATTTAATTCATTTACTCTAATTTGGCCTTTTCTTTAGTCCCTAAATCTTTTAGATTTTGAAATTACAATACTCAAACAATGACCATTAAGTCAATTTGATATATATATATATATATATATATATATATATATATATATATATATATATATATATTTGTTGAATTAATCACTGATATTCGATCTATTGATTGATTAATCCATATCGGATTTTACAGATACTCATCATAGGGTGACTTTCCCAAACGAGATTGCTCCATTTGTAAACGCCAGAGTTTGAATCCATGACATTTAACTGAGAAATTTAGTGTCTCATTCTACTAGATCAGTTGATTATTGGTTATATGTATGTAATTTAGTTATCCTTCTTTCAAGCCCAACCTTTCAAGTGAGCCTGCATTAGGATCCAAATCACTCCCTCCAACATCCAAGCTATCGTTAACAAGATCATGAAACCTGAAATGTGTATAATAGATAACCCAATAAGACCCTAGGAGAAATGCTGTTAAGTTGGTTTTGGGAATTAAGGAGGAGTTCGGCTACGGTTGCTAGGCACTTCTGTTCGCCATGGGGTTAAATTAGTAGTTAGGTGTCTATTTGCTATATTGGGATTTGTTTGTTTAGGTTCATTGGTTGGTTTTATTTTAGCAGACTCTATTTTCTTTGGGTAATGAAAATTTTGCTCTTAAAGGTTATAAGATTTTGTTTTAAATTCTTTTAAACGTTTATAATATAAAATGTCAAAATTCACCTCTAATATTTAATAGAATAATCATTTTGACATATTTCTTTCGAAATACTTTGACGCTAACATTTTATTTTAAGATAGAATATTATTTTGTTGGATGAAAATCTTTAGTTGACTAATAATCAATGCATGTCGCTCGTATAAGACAATCATGTGTTAAAAGTGATGACGTGACACATAACACATATCGAAAGTGATGATGTGTCATGTGAAACATGTCAAAAATAATATGTAACATGTGTTATGTGTTGGAAATAATAATATGATACATATAATATATCAAAGATGTGACGTATCCTACGTGTTAAAAGTGACAAACATTGGTCCTTCATCAATTAACAATATTTATTCAACCAAAGGTTATATTAACCAAAATAAAATATTGGTAGTGGACGTGTAGGTGGTGAGAGAAGAAAAAAAGCAAAAAATGGGGTGGATTAATGCTGATCGTAGAGAGAGGAAGCATGCAATGTCAGTGAAAGCAAAAACTTTATTTGCATTAGTCCAAAGGCGTGTGGAATTTGAAGAGGCCATATCCTCGCAATTTAAGCACGTGTGTTGAGCAAAGCGGAAGAGGCCGAGTTATTGGCCGTTGGCTGCCAATGAATTTATTTTCTGCGCCTACGTACGCACAGCTGGATTGGAATTCTCTGTCTTTCCTTTTCCTATAAATACATTAAAACCTTTTCTCTGCTTCAACTCTGAATCTTATCATTACTTAAAGGAATAAAGATAAACATAGCTTAACGAGCACGCTTCAAATAAAATTTTATCGATCTATCGAGTTGAGTGTGCTCGACTCGTCATTAACTTGTTTGATAAACACTCCTACTCTCAATCTAATTTGTTTTATTCATAACGTCAATATTCTCATCTTATTAGTCTAATTGATTATTAATACGAACACCCTTTAAATGAGAATCGCTTACTTATATAAAAAAAATCCAGTTTTTAAGTGAAAATTACTTATATATAAGGATTAATTATAAAAATTAAACATAGTTTATGAATTTGCTTATCATAATTGAAAAAGGACGAAAAGATCCAAAGCTTTATGGAGAAGGTAGTTTAGTTTATGTATACATCATGATTACCACATGCTTAACTAAAATTTTAAACTGGGAAAGAAATCGGGTTATTAATGTTAAGAAAACAATTCTTATTTCCAAAAATATAGAATTAATTACTATATGTTATAAAGCTTTTTTGACAAGTTTTCTAATATGAGAAAGCATGCGAATGGAGTGAAGCACCTTCAAAAGCTGAATTCCCATTTGTCCAAAGATATTATATTAAATTTGGAAACAAAAAGAAAGTTGCATTCCCAACCAAATACGTGTTAGATTCCATACAGATATATGTGTTTACGTTTCAAGCTTTAGTGAGGGCATCTATTGTTGCGTTGCAAAATTAAGATATTCAAAAGAATGACATTTTTTTAGAAATAATTTGGGACAATTGCTTTTAAGTCATTATATGTGATTGTACTTATATGAGTTAATTCGATGTGTCGGTGTGACATCTTAAACGTGATTCGGTTAAATTTAAAGAATGTTAGTGTAACACATAATCATCGAGATAATTAACCAATTTTTTTAAAACCTCGTTACTCAAAACCTTTAAAACTTGTTATTCTCATCGTAAAACTAAAATAAATATTAGTTAAATTATATAAAATACGGAGCACCATAGTTTAAACTAAGAACTAAGGTACTATACTCTAGAAGCAACTCGGTACAGGAATCTCTCCGATGAAATTCTTCCGATGTTATCAGAAATATTTGAATGTTGAGTTTGACAAGCTTAATCGCACACAATTACACTACGACAATTCATGTGATTCATAATATAAGCACGCAATACAAGTATAGGCATAGATTAATGAGCAATAACAAGCATGAATCATCTTATCATACATCTCATGATAATAACATATCATGCATCACTACTAATACGAACATCACACGTGCACAACATAGAAGTAGTTGGGTCATACGGTGGTGGTCTACTAAGCATCAAACCAATAATCAATACAATACTCAGTCCATATAACATCAGGCATCCCTCACACGACTCTTCACACAGTACTATCTCGGTCCACATAGCATCAAGTAGCATGAATCACTGATATCCAGTCACTTATCCTACATCACAATGGTCGGGTATTAAACAAGGTCAATGAGACCGCATCAAGAATCATCAAGCAATACACCTAACTCTACATCATGTTCTCCTAAATTAAGTCCTCTGGTCTTGACAATATCCTCTGTCGTGCAATCCTTTATTGTGTAGTTTTCTATCGTGCAGCCGTTTGATGGGTGGTTCTCTGTCGACAGTCCTTCCCCGGGCAGTCCTCTACCGAGAAGTCCTCCGTCGGACAGTCTTCCGAAAAACATGAAGTATGGAAGGGTAGAAGTGTACTCTTTAGTGGTTCTGAGTTCAAGCAGCTACGCAGGAAGCGAATACGTTGTCAATTAGCTAAAAAAAATTTAAACAAATACTACATTGTAATCATTTCTATTATTAAAAAAATCAATTAGTTTCATATATATATATATATATATATATATTCATTCTAAAATGAGAGGTTGTCAAAAGTATGAATTCCAGAGATAGATACCTTTTCTTGTTAAGGAAATGTGAAGAATTTTGGAATCCTTGAGCTTCAAACCCAAGCTCCATCTCCTCTTATCTATAAAATGGCTCGAATTTTCCCAAACTCATTGCATCAAAATTTCAAAAGCTTAACATTCTATCATCTTATTCATTCACTGTTGCGGCTTTCATCACTTGTTAAATCACAGCATGTCAAGAGTCCCCGAACCACTTATCATCGGAAGAGTCATAGGAGAGGTGGTGGACATTTTCTCCCCCACCGTCAAAATGACAGTAACTTACAACTCCAACAAACAAGTCGCCAATGGTCACGAGCTCATGCCCGCCGTCATCGCCGCTAGACCTCGGGTCGAGATCAGCGGCGACGACATGAGACCTTGTTACACTTTAGTAAGTCTTTTGCATTCAATACGATATCAGTGTCTGTCATCTTGCAAACTGCAGTAAATTCTTATTGATTTCCCTTTTGTGTTACCCTTTGACCCTTTGAAAGATCATGGTAGATCCTGATGCTCCAAGCCCTAGTGATCCCTACTTGAGAGAGCATTTGCACTGGTTCGTATATGTAAAATTTGGTGGTATATTCGAGTTAAACCCTACATTTTTGTTCAACATGTATCCTATAGTTTCTGAAATGTAACATGGCAGGATGGTTACGGACATTCCGGGTACAACTGATGCTTCATTCGGTGAGTTTCCCATGATTATATAACCACCCGTATTCGATCTATTAACCAATTAATATGAATCGAGTACTGTAAAAGTCTAATATGAAAGCGATTCTCTCAACCCAGTTTACTTCAATAAAAAACGTGGGATTTGAACACTCGTAATATTAACAATGTAATGAATGGATTATGAACAGGGAGGGAAGTTGTTGCCTACGAGACTCCAAAGCCAACAGTAGGGATCCATAGGTACGTGTTCATGTTGTTCAAACAGAGTGGGAGACAAACGGTGAGGCCACCATCTTCAAGGGATTACTTCAACACCAGGAGGTTCTCCGCCGACAATGGCCTGGGACTTCCGGTGGCTGCTGTGTACTTCAATGCCCAGAGAGAAACTGCTGCAAGATCAAGAAGATGAATCCGATATTCTCCATAATCATAATACTAATCATTAAATAAGTAATGGAGATCAAGATGTTTAGGGTTTAGTACGCGGGGTAATCTTGTACTGTTTGTGTTTTAACTTTATATGTAATCATTAAAAAAGTAATGGAGATCAAGATGATAAGTCATTTGACCGTCTTCTTTACAATGCACCATAGAAAGATCTCTATTTGAGAAAATAAACTTTGACAAACATTATTTCAAATTTTTTCCCAACTTCACTAGTTGATCAATTTTGCCCATTTTCCCCATTCCTTTGGCGGGCATTGGCAAGCTATGGAAACGACTCTATCACTATGATGTATCACGAAAATAACAGAAATTTCAAGCTTGTTCTATTGGGGGATAGGCTTTTGGACTTTTTACTCTTCACAATTATTATCTGGACATATCTTACTAGGACGCAAACCTAACAAAACTGACTTTTCGTTTCCTTTGTACAATGGTTGACTTATTCGAAATTTCAAAACATTAAATATTATGGACATAAGTCTACTAAAATTTTCGTGATTTTAGTTATTGAAATAATGATTGGTTTAATATGGTAAATGAGATGATGGAATTTTGAATTCAGTGGATTGACTTCATTCCAAATGGATTCATGCAAGCGGTGACATCTCATCTCCTTTTTTGAAAGAAAAAAAAAATTGATTCCGAAGACAAAAGGAATACTCCATTAATGAAGATAATTATTATTTGTTTTCTCTAAATAAGGAGCAAACGTAGTATAATTTATAAAATGACGTCTCTTCTTGCATGATATCTTGTCTAAAGGTTTTCCACCAACTTATTTTGGCAAAGGTACCTGTGATATTATTTTGTTCTCTTTTGATCAGTCGAATTTGTACCCCTCAATCTTCTTGCAAGAGCATTGCTATCATATCCACAAGGACATGTCCTTGTAGTGAATTGGAAATTTCCTCTACCTCAGTATTGTCCACCTCCACTTCAAGTTTACAGATATTCAATCTTCAGGCATGATAAATTATTTGAAGAGTTGTCGCCTATAATTCGGCTAAAAGGATCGAACAACTCCCCAAACTCTTGGAGAATCCAAAATCCAGTCCCATCTGAATTTGTCTTCGTCCACCCAGCTTCTGCTCATCTGCATACTATGTTATGCCTAAGTTTTTTAGGCCGAGTCCCCTCTCTTCAATCGGGCGTTGCAACGTTTCTCTTTTAACGAGGTGAATTCTTTATTTTGTCACAGATGATCCTCATACAAAATTGCGGATTAATTTCTCCATTTCCTCACACACTCTTAGGAACCCAAGCTAATTGCATTGTATAGTTCGATAAAGCCCGTAAGACTGGTTTCGACAAGACACCCACGCAACCGAGATCGCACATATCAAATAGCCAACAATCTAGCCCTGTGACAAGTGGTATAAGAATTAGTTTTACGTTAAAACGAGGTGCACCGCAACACATCGAGACAGCAGGATCTGATGGGGTCGAGACCCACAATGCTGGAAAGAAGAGAAGCATCGTAGACGTCATCACATCAATCCAGAAGAAAATCACCATGCCGGAAGTCTCTGTGACAGGTGCGACCAGCAAGGGATAACGTTTTGTTAGCCCATCCAGATAATGTTCCTCTCATTTTTTTGGAGAATATAGGAAGTAGCTTTGTTATCACAAATTTACCTCTTCAAATCATAAATCAATCAAAACCCATTTATTGGGGATTGCATTTAGTTATAGTTATAGATAGGTTTAACTATCAATAATCATTTTCATTAATATGTAAAAACAGCTGAGCCTGGATTTCGATCAACACAAACCAAAACACCTGTCTTGTAAATGTGTTTGTAACATGTCTTTTTACCACGGAGACAATCTTACGGGTCGACCAAGTCAATGCCCGAACCACAATCTCCAATGGGAGAACAAAAACACTCCCATTCTCTATCTCGTAAACTTTCATGTCTGTTGCTGTTTTAACTATGCACACTGCCTTACTTGGCTGTCCGGCTATGTTCCGGCGACAGAAGCTTTGATTTTCTGAATTGTGCAGGAAATAAGATTACTAACAGTTTCCACCGTTAGTTTTGCAGTGGGAACGTTGTTCACCAGAATCTGGAATCCTATTGTAAGTAGGCATCCACCACCTATATTCCCATTGAACTCGTTTTTCACCAAAGGCCCGCCATGATTACTCGGTGAAGTGTACGGAAGGATTGCAAATCCGGATGGTAAGAGTGCCACGTATGCTGAATCGCCACCATTCATCACCGCACTCATTGATGATATGTCGACGGGTGCATAAACTATGAATGCTTCACAGGCATTACTCCATGTTTCTTGTAAAATCACCATGTTCTCGTTTGCATTAATGGCCTGCAAGGGAACACCACATCCCAAACAGAGAAAACGAATGAGAAAAATTGCAGATTTCTGCAGTCGAATTCGAAGAAATCTCGAGAGTGAAAACTTACACTGCCACGAAGAAGAGAGACGCAATTACCATGTTCCATGCCCTTGGCAATATGGATCATCTCTTGTACAGGTCCACCATGGGACAAAATGTCCCATTCGCTCCGCATCCGTTCATCCCGCAAGAAATCAAACAGACGTTTTCGCGTCATCGGCATCCAAACAGAAGTAGCAGCACTCAACACAACACCATGAAGCTCACCAGGATCATTTATATTCTTCCGTGTCATCTCCCTTACATCTTCACCAACATTACCAACACTAAGCTTCTCCCATTTATGAATTTTTGAAGCACAAACTCCGGCGCAGAAGTTATACGTCATGCGCCGTGCAAGCTTTAACATGCTTTTCTTCCCATCTGGTGTTATTTCTATGGCACAGATAGTGGTATTAAGCAAGGAAAGTCCAAATTTTCTTTTAAGAATGAAAGGGTGATGTACAAGCTAAAAGAACCTGTATTATTTTCACCTGGGGCGTCTTGGGACATCAGTATTGCCATGTAGTCACACTTCCTTTGCAGAGTGGCAAGCCACCTGTGTGCACCAAACCCGAAACCAGAACTGAGTAATGGTCGTAAGAGATGGTGAACAGCACAGTCGTCGTACTCCGAGTGTTCTACGCATGTAACCTGCATTTAAATATTTGTAAGGATATCAATGAAACTTCAAAACACCAATGCATGAAAGAAGAGAAAAGATCAGAGCAATCACCTTTGAGCACTTATTTTCCACATCTTGGTTAAGACAGCCAGAGGGAAGCCTCCTGCAGTTTGGAAACATCTGTGTATCTGCAGCCCCTTGGCTAACATCGATTGAAACATCGACCACAGCCCATACACCCTCGGAATGCTGCTTGCAAAACCGGATGAATCTCACTCGACGGACAGGAACCAAATTGAGATTTTCATCAAGTCCAGGCTAAGCAGCAAAAGAAACAAAGATGGTTGAGAAAAACACTAGTAACTCGTTGTCTCTGGTTCCACCAGTACCACGGGAGAGCACATCAATGGTTGCTGCTCTGGAGATCATGCACGGAAACATTTCCGATCAACGATTCTATTCATATAAAGTAGCATAAAAAGAACTTGTTAAACAACAATTCAAATACTTGATCTGAAGATTTAATCAATAAAATCGGACACTGCAACAAGTCAATGGAATGCTTACCGCATCCATCAATGCGTCTACAAGAGCCAAACAACGAAAGGTAAACCAGTCCAGTTGCCCGTGTAGCATCGATTACATAGCCGCTTGGTTTCATACCAATGCTAGAGGAGATAGTCCTCCTGTACTCCTGAAAGTTCAAAGATTCCATCACACCATCCAAGCCTTTTATCCAAAGAGGATTATCCATCTGTGCCATCTTAATTAATTCATCCATAACTAACAAAGCAACATCAACAAAAGCTGACTTGTCATATTGCAATTCATCGACCATGGGTTTCACTAACGGCATCATGGAACCATCACCATAATCGAACCCCATCGGCGATGTAGTGCCTGCATTGTTCAGGCCACTAAAACCATTCCTTCCAACTACAAGCTCTAAATTTGAGTTTAAGCCCTGAGAAGGAATAGGCCTGCCTATGAACTTGTTTGATAGAGCACATATCCGGCTAAGCTCATCCTTTAAGCGAGCATTCTCAATCCTAAGCTGGTGCTGTTCGTAAGATATTTCACCAGGCACTGCAGGACCACCACAACCGTTGCATACTGGAGTAGTCATGGAATGCTTCAACAAGTCATTCTCGGCACGGAGTTTATCGTTTTCTTGCATAAGAATTCCATTTTCATGGCGTTCCAATTGGGTTTGGAATTTCAAGCACAAGTCTTAGAATTCAACCATCAATATTGTACAGTAAAAGAAAATAAGATCGTCCACTTACCTTCATCTGAGTTCTCCTGTTTTGAAACCAAAATTTTATTTGGTTGCCCTCAAGGCTTAGTCTCCTGCTAAGCTCCATTCTTTGTTTTTCATCGGGGTGAGGACACTCCTTGAAGAAACTAGAGAACAGAAGAAACAAACTTCAATGAGCAAACCCATAAAAAGAAAATCTTGAGTGAAATGAAATATGAGCAAGCATACGATTCAAGCTCCTGTATTTGACGTGGAGTGTGCCTGTGATACTTCTTCTTCTTTGGCGGTCCGTCGGCGGCGGCAGCATCCTGATCATCACCGGAAACAACTTCAAAATTATCACTGCCGGGACCTACTTTCATATCCATCTTCCCAACTAAACCCGGATCAAAGCTTTCCCCATTCAGTCCCATCTCACCATGTACATCCATTCTTTTCTGCACCAAAACAATCAAATAGAGAATGGCAGTCTCTTTGTCAACGCCCATGCATGACAAATTGCACCTCTCTCAATAAAAAAAAGTCAGTTTAAGAAAAGGAAAAAAAGTGGAGGAACAGAAGAAAGAGACCTTTTTATCTTATAATAATATATAATCAAAGAGTTCACACCTTTTTTATGTCGCAGCAATGTCTAGCGTCTCAGCCTGAGAAATCCCTGAAACGTCATGGAAACACTGACAAATATAAAGAAGAAAAACCTAAAAGCATGAAAAAAACCCAGTTCATCACTCTCTCTTTGTTCCAGTGCAAGTAAAGAAAAGAAACAGGCTGTAAGAAGTAAATGC